CCTCTTCACTGTACACAAGTTAATCCCTTGGTTGTAAGCTTTGCCACTAATGACTCTTCTTTATACAAATTGGTTGCTTGTCCCTCCAATTAATTAAAAGGCTTACTGCATGTGTTGTATTCACATACAACTCCCAGGCTGCTGCACTAAACAAATTGCCATCTAAGTTGGCACCATGACAAACTTGGGATTTGGACCTCATAATTTCTTAATTGATATACACTAATTATCGTTTTTGAATAAATGAAAACATAAAAATTTAGAAATTTCACATGGAAAGGTCATGAATTCCAACTATAAATTATATCTAACTAGTTGTTATTTCTAAAATTCCAAGAGAGTGGAAGTTTTAAATTTTATGTTTAAATTCATTAGCCAAACAAGAAATTTTACAAATTTTAGAACATTAATTACATCATTTTAATTTCCAAAATATCCTCTAGCATAGAGAGAGAGAGAGAGAGAGCTTCATATCAGGGGTTTTTCCTCTGAATCCTCATTGTTCTCCGACTTTTGGCAGATGTATGTTGATATGGTCTTCCTTTGACAGATTTATTGTCTCTACCACGAATCTGGATTGGTTTTGGATGTGCATCATCTTGTGGGGCTATTCTTTGAGGTATTGTTGCTTGGTCATGGTAGATCTATTGTGGATTAGTGTGTTGGGACCATAGAGTGACTAGGTGCCACTCTCTATGTCATGTCCCGGAGGAAGATTTGCGGTGTTTATTCTTCCTTTGTCAACAACGTTGTTTTAAATTTTTAATCTTGGTCAATAAAGTTTAGAAACTCAATGAATTTCATGTTTTTTTCTCTCTCATAATTCCAGAAACTTATACAACAAGCTAGTAGTCCACTCAATGTTAAATAGCATTATACAATAGAACCCAATTCAGCCTTCGCATGTTATTTTTATTTTAATTCTATTTTTGTTAGGGGAACAGAGAGCAGACCCTTTTGACATTATGCACCCCAACACAAGTCAGTCGTCCATACGGCTTTTTCTCTTGTATTGATGTCACTGCTTACACAAACTCCTTCAACAAAACTTTCTTGCTCTCACCTCTGAATTATTCATTAATTACCATTGTTATTACTTGAGTCATTACATTAGAACTCAATCATTGATCTTTAGGACCAACTTCACATTGTATTTCACTAATCCAAACGTCTATTTTTTAAATAATTATTCAAAGATCATCTCTACAAAAAAATCACTTGAATCTAATATCATTTGATCACTCAATTGAGTTATTGAAATTTTAATACTTTCTTAATTTTGTAGGACACAATTGGATGTCACAACGGTTTCCAATTTGTCTAATTTTTTTGCAAGGATGATCTATGAATGTAGACTTAAAAAATAGATAGCTTGGATCATTGGAGAGAGAGAGAGAGAGAGAGCGCGCTTATTTCCCCACTCTCATTTTCTCCACTTATTACACTCCCTTTTGCTTTTTAATACTTTTTAATCAATTTTGTTCTTTCTCTTTTCTATTCTACCCTTATTCTACATTAATTTATTTTTAATTCTTTATACTTAATTTTCCAACTTGCACTCCATTTTCAGTAATTTTTTTCCTTATAAAATAAAATAAAATAAAATAAAAACCAAATTTATTTTTTTTTACCAAAATAATTCAATTTAATTTTAAATTAATAATTATTTATTTATTTTTTACGCCACTATAATTTCTGTCGCGCAAAAGTTTTTTGAAAATACACAACCGTAAAAATAAAATTTAAAGAATTTATTTTATTTTGCGCGACGAAAGAATTTGTCTCTCTAAGTAAATGCGACAAAAATATTTCGTCGCGCAAATATTTTAAT